CACAAACATGAATCTTTTAAAATGTTCAAAGTATTCCAAAATGAAGTACAAAATCAACTTGGCAATACTATTAAAACTATTCAATCTAATCGAGGAGGTGAATATTTGAGCCAAGAATTCATTGATCATCTCAAGAGTTGTGGGATAGTCTCACAATTAACTCCTCCAGCAACACCATAATGGAATGGTGTTTCTGAGCGAAGAAATCGGACACTATTAGATATGGTTCAATCCATAATGAGTCAAGTAGATCTTCCACTATCCTTTTGGGGCCATGCACTAGAAACAGCTGCGTTTACACTAAACCATGTTCTATCTAAGGCAATTGAGAAGACACCATATGAGATATGGACTAGGAAGAAACCTAGTTTGTCTTTTCTCAAGATTTGAGGAAGTGAGGTTTATGTTAAGAAACAAGCCTCAGATAAGTTAGCACCCAAATCCACAAAGTGCCTTCTTGTGGGGTATCTTAAAGAAACAAAGGGATACTATGTCTACAATCCCACCGATAATAAAGTATTTGTAATTTAAAATGGTATCTTTCTAGAAAGAGAATTTATCTCTAAAAGAACCAGTGGGAACAAGATACATCTTGAAGAAATTCAAGAACCACGAAATAGCACAAAGTCATAAATGGAAAATCGAGAAGACTCATGAGAAGTAAATGAGCTTACTCAAAGAACATAAGGCCTATGAAGGTTAGATAGAACACGGCATCATCCTTAGAGATATGGATTTTTGATTAATGAATGTCGTGATGTGTTGCTCATTGAATAAAAGGAACCAACCTCCTACCAATAAGCCATAGTGGGACTAAATTATGAGAAATGGCTAAATGCCATGAAGTCTAAAATGCAATCTATGTATGATAATAAGGTATGAACCTTAATCGATCCACCTGAAGGAATAAAAACCATCAGGTGCAAGTGGGTTTCTAAGGAGAAAACTAACATGGATGGTAAAATAAATGTCTTCAAGGCATGATTGGTTGCAAAAGGATTCACCCAAACTCATGGTGTGTAGACTATGATGAAACCTTTTCACTGATCGCAATGGCTAAATCAATCAAAATTCTCCTTGCCACTGTAGCATATTATGACTATAAAATATGACAGATGGATGCTAAAACAGCATTCCTTAATGAAAGTCTACTTAAGGAAGTGAACATGACACAACCTAAAGGTTTTGTGTGTCTAGAGGACTCTAGAAAAATGTGCAAGCTTTAAAGATCTATTTATGGATTCAAGCAAGCATCTCAGAGTTGGATTCAACATTTTGATAAAGTAATCAAAGAGTTTAAATTCATTCAAAACATTGATAAACCTTGTGTTTATAAAAGGGTTAATGGCAACACAGTTATATTTCTAGTGCTATATGTAGATGATATCCTATTCATTAGGAATGACATTCCTCCCTTACAGAATGTCAAGTCTTGGTTAGGAAAATCTTTTTCTATGAAGGACTTAGGTGAAGCCACTTACATCCTTAGGATTAAGATCTATAGAGATAGATCCAAAATGTTAATAGGCCTAAGTCAGAGTACATACATAGACAAGATATTGCATAGGTTCAGTATGCAAGATTCAAAGAAGGGTTTCATCCCCATGTCTCATGGCATTCATCTCAGCAAAAGCCAGTGTCCTAGTACACAAAATTAACGAGATCGCATGAGTAAGGTTCCATATGCTTCGGTAATTAGATCTATCATGTATGACATGCTGTGCACTCAACCGGATGTTTTATTTGCCTTAAGTATGACTAGAAGATATCAAGCAGATCTAGGAAAGGATCATTGGACTGCTATCAAGAATATCCTAAAGTACTTAAGAAGGACTAAAGATTTATTCTTGGTATTTGATGGATTGGATGATGAGCTAGTTGTAACAGGTTACACAGATGCAAGCTTTCAAACTGACCAAGATGACCTTAAATCACAATCAACATATGTGTTCATCTTAAATGGTGGGGCAGTGAGCTGGAAGAGCTCAAAGTAGAGCACCACAGCTGATTCTGCAACAAAATCTAAGTATGCAGCAGTATCAAATATAGCTAAGGAAGCCGTTTGGATCAAGAAGTTCATTGTTAAACGAGGAGTGGTACCTAGCATCTCAAATCTAATAAACTTATTCTGTGACAATAGCAGTGCAATTGCATAAAGCAAAGAGCCAAGGTCACACGAAAAGATCAAGCATATACTCAAGCATTTCCACCTTATTAGAGAGATCAATGATATAGGTGATATAAAAATATGCAAAGTAACAGGAGAAGACAATATTGCTAATCCTGTTACAAAGCCTCTTGCACAGGTGAAGCATGAGCGTCATGTCAGGATAATGGAATTAGATGAATTAATGATTGTACATAATACAAGTAGGAGGATGTTGGAAATTGTGCCCTCAAGCCAATCATTGTATTATACACATTATTATTTAATGAATTTCTCTTTTATTATCATAACAATTGTATGTTTAATATGATAACTATATCCTTGAATAAACTATAGTGATTGTTCTAAATGTCCATGGTCGGTTATCTTTGAGGGATCATAGATGAAACAAGACTGGTAATGACTTTGATTAATTATAGAGATACAAATTAAAGTCATAGGTAATTGAAAGAGTACAAGATGATGGACTAACCCACTATGAGAAAGCTGCATGGTACAACTCATAAGCTTATCTCATATGTAACTATATCACTAAGCCCTTTGACCTGAGATCATCATAGATTGCTACATGAAGACCACTGAACTTTGACCTAGTCAAAAGTCACCTTTGACTGGGTGATCATAAAGGCTAGGATTGAGTTTAGTGATATTCATACAGAGGTATATGAGTGGTCAAAATGGAATTTGTCCCTTATATTAAGTGAAAGATGTTATTGGGCCCCTCAATAAGTAAGACTGAGAAAATGTACGGCCATACTACAATGGAAAGAGTTTTTCCATTAGTATTGTTAGTCTACTCAGAGATTGAGAAAGTAATGGTCAGTAAAGGAGAATGACAATTTCATATCTCATACTTGACCGAAATATCTCGTGACAAAAAGGATGTGATATAGTTGCATGATAAGTTACATTAGATCATCGATTCCCATGTGAATCAGGTAGTTGCAATGTCTTGCTAGAGGACACTTGTAACTTATGGGCTAATAGCGTAATTAGCCCATTGCCAATTTCATATGGGCCTATAGGGTCGCACACAAAAACGGCCTAACTTGAGTTATAATGTCCAAGTTCGTTGAATTTAAAATATGTCTAGATTCAATGAATGTAATATGCGGTGAATATATATATATATTTAAATATTTATTTGATAAATATATATATATTTATATAAAATATAAAATTCAAAATATAATGTTATATATATGTGTGTGTGTGTGTGTGTGTATCAGATATATATATATATATGATATATGTATGATATATAAAATTAAATATGGATAATATAATATATATATATATATATATTTTCAAAATATATATGTATATGTGATATATATTATATTATCTTATGTTAATCTTAAATTTAATTTTATATGATAGATTAAATTTAATAACTAACATGATAAGAGAAATATCATTTTAGTTTTATAATTTAAATTTATAAGATAAATTTGAATTAGATATCATATTATACAGTAAATTTATGAGATAAATTTAATTAAATTTTCCTGAGCTTTTAAGTGGAAGACGAAAACCCTTATCTATATACTATATATAGATAGGGATGTCCTTATGAAGGTAGAGAGATAGTTAGAAAATTTTTGACAAAAAAAAACACTCTGAGAGCCACGAAACACCCTATAAAAAGAAAAATTAATTTTCAAAGAAAAATGGACGCCGAGAGCGCTAGCATGCTGTTCGAGTTAGAAAGCTATTTGTGTGGATACTGATAAAGGGAGAAGATATGCATTGTCAGCTCTTGAGATCCAAACGTGCGCTAACTTCAAACAATTAAAAAGGTAACTCTTCTATCCACCTTGACTTAAATGAGTTCGTTAAGTCCATATCAAGATAGAGACTTTAAAATTTTAATCTTACGTGCGCCTCCTTATCCAACATACCTAGTCATTTTTGTTAGAGCCTATGCTAGTAAAATACTTAAAATTCATGGATTTTCTATTAAGCATGCATGGACATAATCTGATGTATAGCGGATGTTGTGTTGTGCATGGTCTGCCTAGTCATTTTTATTAGAGCCTATGCTAGTGAAATACTCAAAATGCATGGACTTTTTGTTGAACATGCGTGGATATCATCTTGTCCATAGTGAATGTTGTGTCGTGCATGAACTATTTCATTGTTTCGAGGGTTCACACAGGTTCTAAATTCAAATAAAAAAAGAGCAAAATTATATTTTTGATGTGAAAAATATTGCAATTAGAGCCTCAAGGCCTACAAAGCAATTTCAAATTGATTTTGGCTATAAGTATAATAAAATCTATTTTTATGGCCCTTAATACCCACTAGTGTAAAAATCCTTATCCAAACTAGTTAAAATTAGTCATTTAAACCGATTTTACAACTGGTTTAGATAAGACCCGTTTAAATAAGTGATAGATATCTAAACCGGTTATACAATCGGTTTAAAAATTGCTCATTCTAAACTAGTTCTAAATGAATTTAGATAAAATGTAAATAAAAATATTTTAAATTTTTTAGATTTAAAAAATCACTTCTAAACTAGTTATAACATCATACCTAGTTTAGATATCACAATATCTAAACCGGTTAGGACCACAACTAGTTTAGATCGTATTGATATATAAACTTGTTAAGACCATAACTGATTTAGATATCAATAAGATCTAAACCAATTGTGGTCCTAACCGATTTAGATATTGTGATATCTAAACCAGGTATGATAATAACTAGTTTAGATACATTCTTTTATCAAAAAAAATATTCAATTTTTTCACCTAACCATGATAGAATACAAACTTGCAAATTAAAAGTAATATATACAGCCAGCTAGTCAGAATACAAGCCAATTCAATTAAATTAATGTAAAAATATTTACAATTTCATTTAATATTCAATATCCACATAAGTTCAATAATTTTTCCTAATTCAACTATACATATCCTAAACTCACTCATTCAATGGATTGTTGTTGTGAAGCTCTAACATAAATAATCCTCAATGTCTTCTAATTTCTTGGATCTCTGATTGTGGAAATCGAGATGAATCATTGAACATCTAAAAAAATCAAGGACAAGAAATTTAAGTTAGCGATTCCAAGTAAACAAAAGATATATTAGACCTCTAAAATTAGATTTACCTCTTCAGTAAATTCTATTAAGCCGGCCGTGATGATGTTGTACATATGTCTCAGCCCATAAAACGATGGAAGAAAGAATTTTTCAAGTTGGCACAAGATAAGATATGCCTCCTTCTCTAATTCATCTAATTCTTCAATCTCATGGACTTTACGGCATATAGCATTGAAGAAAAAGCAAATTCTGGTTATGACATCTCTCAATTCATCTTTCCAGAAACCTCGAATAGCCACTGAGAGTAATTGTTGCATTAAGATATGGCAATCATGAGACTTGAGGCCTACTAATTTCAAATCCTTCATCGACACAAGCTTCTTAAAATTTGAAGAATATCCTAAGGGAACTTTTATGTCATGCAAGCAATCACAAAAGCTTCTTTTCTCGTCCTTGCACAATGTATGTTCAGTCAGGGGATAATAAGTTCACTTACTATCTGGCCTTAGGTGTAAGTCCTCTTTAATTTTCATATCTACCAAATCCAATCTTGCCTTCACACTATCCTTAAACTTGCTTGATATGTTGAGAAGTGTTCCAATAATACTATCACACATATTCTTCTCTATATGCATGACGTCAATACAGTGCCTCACATCAAGATGGCACCAATATAGAAGGTCAAAGAAAATAAACCTCTTTTTCCATATATCTTTTTCACTACTCTTTATAGTTTTACTAAAAGTAACATTAATGTCTTTCACTAATTCATAAACTTGCTCTCCTGTCAATGGCTTTGAGGTAGTTTCATGCTCTTGGCCACTATAGAAAGCTTTCCTCATTCTACGGTAGCGGTGACCTTTTTCAAGAAATTTCCTATGGCTAAAGTAGACTGTCTTCTTTCTATGATAAAGTTGATTGCAGCATGTACCTTCTTCATAAATTGGACATGCTTTATGCCCCTTAATACTATAACTTGACAAGTTTTCATATGTAGGGAAGTCATTTATGGTACAAAAAATCATCGCACGCAACTTGAATACCTCCTTCTGATTCGTGTCAAACACATTAACACCTATCTCTCACCGCTTTTTTAAGTCTTTGATGAAGGGTCTTAAGTAAACATCAATGTTATTCCATGGTTGTTTCAGTCCTGAAATAAACATAGACAACATGATATACTTGTGCTGCATTCATAACATGGGAGATAAGTTGTAAATCTCCGATAGAACAGCTCATGAACTGTGTATGCTACTAAGGTTGCCATAAGGATTCATGCCATTCATACTAAGTCCAAGCTTGAGGTTCCTTGGATCATTGCTGAAATAGAGAAACAATGTATCAATTTTCTTCCATTATTCTAAATCAGCCGGGTGTTAAAGTTTTCCATAAAAAATCCTTTCATTTGTATGCTACCTCAGATTCTTCGCATCCTTTTCATTAGCAAACAATTATTTAAACCTTGATATAATTGAAAGATATCATAGCACCTTTACAGGAGCTTTGTTTTCTTTGTACCTTGGAGTCTCACATACCAGACAATTTTGCTCCTCTTTATGCTCTTTCCTATACAATATGCAATCATTAAGGCATGCATGTATTTTCTTAAACTTTATGCCTAGTGGGAATAGAATTTTCTTTGCCTCGTAGTAACGAATCGGCAACATATTCTCTTTCAAAAGCATTAATTTCAACAACTCGAGTATTTTTGTGAAACTCTTGTTGCTTTACCCGGATCTAGCTTTCAAGCTTACCAATTCCAACATTGCTTTCAACAGATTATATTCCTCGTAACCTGGGTACACAGGTGTCTCTCCACCACTACACATATTATTATATACCTAGGATTGCTCAAAGGCCTCTTTACCCACATCACGACTCATGTCCTCTAGCCGATCAGTCATATCATCATCATTATAATCATCATCAATGTCCCGAGGTTGAGATGTACTTGACATTGGCATGTTCAATCTTTCATCATGCCATACTCTATAACTTTTAAGAAACCCTTCACAAATTAAGTGTTCATATATCTCATTTGTACTTAGTCGTCTCTCATTCAAACAATCTCTACAAGGACAAGAAAACCTCCTACTATCATCTTCAGTATTGCTTTGAGAAAATTCTAGAAACTCCTTAGCCCCGTTAACATATTCTATACTTGTTCATTTGGCATCTATCTAACTACGATCCATGTTTGATTTTACCTCCTAAAACACAAAGCAGTTCATGGATTATTACTAAATCTATTATAATAGGGCCAACTAACAAGTTCTAATAAAGCAGGAAGCAAGCTCTTTGAAGAAAAATGTTCTTTATGGTTGGCTAACCTCCTATCTAATAGGCAGGAGGGAAGCCAACTATATATTCATTGGCCCTTTCCATATAGAGAAATGGGCCAAATAATAAGTTTTAAAAAATTTTAATAGAGTCTCCCCTAAAAGTTAGACTTCCCAATAATTTTACAATTGAAAATACACTAGCACAGTTTAACAAATCATATTATAGCCAACAACAATGCCTAATCTAAGTTAACAATCCAAATACAAATTTCCACTACTACAAAAAGCACTTTTTACAAAGTAACTTTAACATTTGATCTTGACAAATCAAAATAATTAAGTAACCAAACATAGCGTTTGAATCACCAACAACAATATATTTAAAAAAAAATCTCTAATCTCAACTCATTCATTGTAAAAAATAAGTGTCTTCCATAATTATAAACTACTCAACATAAACTTTCAAAATTTCAACCAATCACAAAATAGCTTTAAAATCAAGTCCCTTATAATGCTCAAGTTAAAATTTCATTAAATAGCATTCCAATCAATCATGCTTCTCACCATAATTAATAAAATTTCAAAAAAATGCATAATAAAGTAGAACTCTCCTAATGAGCATTTCATCGAACACCTAATGGCCATTAACCTTTAAACTAAAATTAACTCCTTCTTCAGTAATTCCATTTCCCAAAATTTTACAATATAACTATTTGTATCCATCAGCCTCCAAATATACTCTCTAGTAAGAAAATCAATCTCCAACATAAAGAAAACTCAATTTTTATCTCCATAATAGCAAACAAGGAAAGAGAAAAAATCACACAGCATCTCACAAAAAATTATCTCAACCATTAAACACATACGCACACATGTATAGAACCACAAGAGGAAGCACACTTGAAACTCCTACCTTAGATCACCATTAACGCATAAGAAGAGGAGAAAAAGGGCTCACGGCACAAAATATTACAGAGGAAAATCTGAGCCACTTGAAGCAAAGATTGACAGGAGATAAAACCGACAAGGGAAGGAGATCTTCGATGTTCTCGGCGCCCACAATTAGAGAAGCAAAAATGAAAGAAACACAGCACAGCGGAAAAACACAACACCCACAATCAGAGAAGCTTTACAAGAGATGGAACTTTGACCAAACACAGCACATTGAAAAAATTGAAAGAAACAGAACCCAAATCCAATGCACCCACAATCTCCAACAATAGATGGAAAGAATAACAGTGATAGGATCGATGAAGACGCAAAGGTTGTGGTTCAAAGTTCTCTCTCTCACACTCTATTTGCTCTAGATTTTCTAAATCCACCGAATAGAGAAGAAAGGAGAAGGGGGAAAAATCTTATGCATGCGTGTATTATGTCTAAAAACAAGTTAAGTTTAAAAATTATAGATACATATCTAAATCGGTACTATGTTATAACTGATTTAGATATCACTTATTAAAAAAATTTAAAATGTAAAACACATACCTAACCCGGTTATTGTTATAACTGGTTTAGATATCAAATATTGAAAAAAAAATTTAAAATGTAAAACACATACTTAAATCAATTTTACATTATAATTGGTTTAAATATTTATTTTTAAATTGGTTCTTTTCTTAACCTCTTTAAAAATTATTATAATATTTTTTTATTTACGAAAATGTCAACGCACTTCATTTCTAAACTGTTGACGCATGAATTCGTTTAAATATGTGAGTCTAAAATTTATATTTTGCTATAGTGGCCATTCCCCCTTGAAAAATTCAACAGCATTTGAATAATCAAAGCTGTCAAATCAAAGCAAACCCTTCACCAATCCTGAACTTCACGGCATCGTCAGTGTTCATCAATTTAAATATAATGAAATAAAATATTCTTCTCCATTTAAAAATATAAAATATTTTTTAAAATATTAAATATTTAAAAATATAAAATATTTTTAATTTTTTAAAGTAAAATTATTATCTTTTTTAAAGTATTTTTATTAATAATAATTTTATATTTATTATAAAGTATTTAATAGAAATAAATATGCAAAAATATGATTAGTTGAAAAAGTAAATAACCACTTTATTGAAGGATGAAATTTAATTAAAAATATTTTATATTTTTTAATAGAAAGAGTACTTTATATTTTAACAATAATTCAAATTATTTATTAGACAAAAAATAAAATTTACAATGAATAATTTTTCTTATATAACACATTAGTTTATATTCATAAGTTATTTTTAATTGATTCTCTAAAAATGCTATTAATTAAATGTATATTCTTGATCATTTCTCTAAATTCTTCTTCCTATTATAAATTTATAATTGCTAAATAACATTCACACCAAAAACTTAGAGAAAAAAAAATTAGTAATTGCTTCATTGTATACATGAATGAAAATAGGATAATTACTTACCACACAAATACCATCATGTTTAACATATAAAATTTCTAACTACGTCGTAATTGTACATAACAAAGCACGTGCTGCTGATAACACCATACCAAAAACAATAACTTAAGTCCAAGATTGACATTTTATCTGAAAGACAGAAAAAAAAAAAAAAAACGTAGAAAAGTCGCGATTAGCCGATTACAGTTCCATTGTGGGAGTAGTAGCATTCGGTTCGATTTTTTTCAACTGAATCCCGTGTTTGTGGGATTCATCTTCGTACACGTAAGCGAATCCTCCATGTCTGGTCAGATCCATACCCGCCATCTCGTCTTCGGGTGAGATCCTTAATAGTTTGAGCTTATGAAGGATGAAGAACAGGGTGCCCATGGTGGCGCTGACCCACCCGACTATCACCAAAATCTGGATCACGTGAGCACCCAATAGCCTCCCTCCTCCACCCATAAACAACCCGTGTGGTCTACCCGATTTACCCGGGTACACCTGATCCACATACTCTCCTTTAGCAAACAACGCCGTGAAGATTATCCCCCACGCGCCGCATCCGCCGTGCAATTGCGTCGCCTCCAGCGGATCGTCGAACCTCACCTTCTCGGCCAGCTTGTTGCAACTGATCAAAACCACCGCTGCCACGACCCCGCAAATAATTGCTGCCCATGGCTCCACGACGGAGCACCCGGAGGTGATGGCGGCGAACCCGCCTAGCAAACCATTGCAGACGTCCGTCACGTTCCAGTGGCCGGAGAGTATACGTTTGCCGAAGAGAGTGGTCAATGCTGCGGAGCAACCAGCTAGTGTGGTGGTCACGGCTGTTCGGCCCACCGCGCTCCATTGGCCGTAGTAACTTCCAGATTCGTAAGAGCTGAGAATCTTCGTGAACGAACCTGGATTGAATCCATACCATCCAAACCAGAGCAAGAAAGTTCCGAGAACGACAAGAGTGGCACTGTGTCCACGAAGAGCTAGGGGTCGACCTGTATGATCGAATCTGCCAATTCTGGGACCTTCGATGAGAGCACCCCAAAGACCAGCGATACCACCGACGAGGTGAACCACACCGGAGCCGGCAAAATCTATCACTCCGGTTCCGAAAAGTAAGTTGGATGAATTGGTGGGACTGGCCCAACCGTCACCGGACCAGAACCAGTGGGACACGACGGGGTAAACGAAACCTGTTAAGAACGACGAGTAGATGAGATACGCTACGAACTGGGTTCTCTCGGCGATGGAGCCACTGGTGATTCCGGCGGCAGCGATGGCGAAAGCCCACTGATAAAGGAAGTAGCTGTAGTCAAAGTTGGTGTCTGGGATGTCTTTGAGGCCGAAGAAGTGGCGGCCGATGAAACCATTGGACGGAGCTCCGAAGGCAAAAGCAAAACCAAAGAGGTAGTAGAAGAGACCGCCAGTGGCGGCGTCGAGGACGTTGGTGAGCATGATGTTCATGCTGTTTTTGGCTCGAACGGAGCCGGCGCAGAGCATAGCGAAGCCGAGTTGCATGGCGAAAACGAGGTAAGCGGAGTTGAGGAGGTAGGTACTGTCGACAGCGAAGGTGGTGTCGGAGAACTTGTTTGTGACGGCGGTGAATCGGTCGCAGATGAAGCTGGCGGCAGCGCCGGCATTGGTTGTGTTAGCACCAAATAATTGGGCCAGTTGTGCCGCCGGGCAGTCTGGCAAAGCCATGGTGACTGAATCTAAGTGAAAGCTACGAAAAGAAAATAATAAAAGAAAAAGAGAGAGAGAAGCAACTCGGAGCGAAACGGGGAGGAAGCTGGCTTTTTAGAATATATATATATATATAGATATATACACAGAGAGATAGAGAGAGAGAGAGAGAAGATGATAAAATAGGCATTATTATAAAAGAAGACAACTTTGGTTGGCCGTATGTGAAACTGATCAACAATTCACGATTCCAATGATTTAATCAGGCTAGAGTAATGATCAAATCAATAATATAATAATTAAATTTAAAAAATTATATATATATATATATATTGATTTAAATATAAAAAATATACATAAAATTATTATTTAATTTAAAAAAATTAAATATTTTAAATTTATAATATGATATAATATAATATCAAATGATTAAAAAATTAATCATTTTTTAAAAAAATTAATAATTTGTTAAACAGTTTGATTCTTAAAAATTAAATCCAGTGCACATCTTAATTTCAATTTTTGATCTAAAATGACCCAACTCGATCCAACTTTTAAAATAATTTTTATATATTGATCAAATCAGAATTTGAATCAGTCAATGGCTGATCTTTTGGTCTAGTTTAATTTTAAAATCACTGAATGAGATAATAAGTTCCAAAATACAGAATCAAAGACCTTGATTCCCAATGTATGTGCGTGTGTGTATATATATATATATATCAACGATAATTTTAATTACTTGAAAATTGCCTTTTTGGAAGCTGCCAGGAATCTGGTTGGAACTGGCAGTACGAGCGTGCACAAAGCGAAGGTATGATACAGTGTGATAATATATGGAAAGAAGAATGTACAATGGGAAAGTGTGATCGAACATTTGATTGCAAACGGGTGTGGGAGAGTGGACGAAGACTTTTCAATGTTTGAACATTTGATTGCGTAAATGCCTACGAAATAATAGAAAATGAGATTAAGGGCCCCTAAAAGTATGAACAAATTAAAATCATTTTGACATATTAATTACTGTTGAATTTCAAAGTTACTTTCTTTTAAATATGTGTTATTCTAAAAAAATGTTGAGCGAATTTTAATTACAATTAAATAGTTAATTTTTCTAAAAATCAAAGTGAATTCCTTGTTCTGACATGAAACTTAACATGAGATGTATAATGATTTATCTTGTGAATAATATCTATCCAAGTTTTTTACATTATATTTACTATACATTGCATAGAGACCAGAGCTGAGCCAACAGCCAGTATGTTTATGACTATATAAGTATTTTGGTTTTTGTGTTTTGAATTTAAATTTAAATGTAATTCTTTTATATGACGCGTTGGATGTCATATGACATCAGCCATGAGCCACCATTGGGCCCATTATGCATTTCTTTATGATAGAATTCACACGGTTCTTAACTATTCCACTTTTCAAGCTCAATCGCCAACTTTGACTTTGATCATTCACTAATTTTTATTTCTTAAATATCTCTCCACCCTTCCACCTTCTTTGTTTTACAACTTTTGACAATAAAAGCCCACAAAAAGGTTAATGAATTTTGGTCCGCACTATTATTTTATAATAGAAAAAATTTCACTAAGGACTTTCTCATCACACTTAACAAAAAATAAGACCCTCAAAAATACTGATATATGACAGCATGATAGAGGTATTGATTTGAGATTAAATTTTATAGTCAAATGACAATATTGCCCTTTACTGTAAAAACAAAAAAGAAAAGTTTCGTTAGCTTGACCATGACGTATATGTGTTGTAAATATGTAGAAGATCAACAACACCTCTATTTCAAACTTGAACCCATAGAATCTCCCTTAATGAGTGGGAAAATTTTATTCAAGAAAATTCTCATCTCATCCATCATCGCACGTATATTCGATAAGCACAGATGATACACTTAAGCTTCCCAAACTCTCAAGTCTAAAGATTAGCAACACATCCATTATTGAAATTTCTACCCAAGAATCTCCCTTAACTGAAGTGCGCTACCTCTGACGTCATAGCTTCTTTTGGTTGACATTGTTTTTCCCTCAATTAAACATTAAACCAATAATTGAAAAGCAATCAATATTGTAACAAATAAGTGTGGTAAGGAAATTAATAACTGTCGTAAGGTAATTAACCACACACACTAAAGCAACAAATAAGTCATTCAAACATGAAATCATATTGGTATGATCATGTTTTACCAGTATGTTTTACTTGAAATTATTTCAAACAATACCAATATATCACAGACATACCGGTATATCATAGACTTACTGTAATGTCTCCCTTACTTAACCACATAATGCTCCACGATCAAGGTAATCAAGGAATTAACCCTTAAAGGATTACCTAAGTTTGTAAAATCACATAAAAAATTTCTCAAAACTTTTACAATGGAATCCCAAATTTAACATTTCAAATCTCAAACAATATTTAATAAGCTCAAATCAAAGTTTTGAAAGTAATGCGGAAGTTTGAAAATTAATTGGGACCTAAATCTGTGAGTTTTAAAACTCAAAACTAATATTTGTGCAAAAAATAACACGTGCACCGTGGTTCATCTTCTCTGTGCCATGCGTCGCGACGTATTGCATGAATTTGACAGTACAGGAGCAAACTTTCAACTCGTCCCAAATCTCCGTCCGATGTCCAATTAAGGTAGTTTTAGTGTCTACACAGAGCTTTCTCCTAACTCTAGCTAATAGCATAGGTTTCACATTCAAACTTATTTTCTATAAATAGTTGGATACCAAAACCTATTTTGACTACTTTTTCACAAAATTTCACAAATATGGTGCCCCAACTCAACCACACATGCCAATAGCCTATACCAACCATCTGACTACACCTAATAAACTTATGTAGACATGTGCAACACACCACACACAGCCAAAACCACTTATATCTCAAAATCATCATTCAACCCTGATTTTCACAAAATGTAAAGGGGGAAGAAATATTGCACAAATTCATCAATTTCATCGCAAATCTTTAAAAATACATATATTTCTACTTGCACAAGTATTTTAACCCTATCCACGGGTTTACAATCAAAACTCACTATCCCAAGGCACAAAATACACAAATTATACACAAAATCATGCAAGTAGTGTATAATTCATGTCAAAGGATCCTAGTTGGAAAATACAATAACATTTACACATGGAACCACATAAAGTAGGCATATAGAGGATTACTCCACAACCTCAGGCCTCAGTGTGTTCTTCCCTGACTCGAGTCCCATGAGCTAGGTCCTAAAATATTGAGAATTGAGGGGTGAGTACAACCACTCAATAACCAAGTTTCACCTAACTTATATAGTTGCATATCAATTGTAAGTAGATGCCATTAGGCAAATATAAAAATATCACATATAAACACTAGGCCATGGTTCACAAAACTAATAACCATGTGACCAGGCCCACAATGCACAATATCATGATATTTTACAAAGCATAACACAGGGTTACAATAATAACAATCATGTGCCCCTAACATATGCCAGACCACAAAACTAACAGCTACGTGGCTAGTCTTATATGTATAATCATATGTCAACTTTATACTTTCCTATTACCTCTGACATGAAATCGGTGGCTATCATGTGGCTACATCCCTCACGGACCAACCCAGCTTACTACTTGTGAGGAGCTACCAAGCTAGGGTGAACTCACTCACTTATGTAATTCGATTTTCCCTAATACTAACAATCATGGTGTGTCGTACCCCTAATCTAGCCTTATTATGAATTGGTGGAAAATAGTTAGGTTTGAGTCCCTTATAAAACAAGTAGGACAGTCCTGTATTAATTATGGGACAAGGGCTACCTCCCAATTCTAAAGCTTGGTGCCGAGGCAAGCTCCCAATTCCAATGGTCACTACCAATACCACGTGGATTTAAACTAATTTACTTCTCTCCCTTGGTGAACTCCTACCCATGATCATGCTATGCATATTTATCGCATATTATGCCTTTGAAGAATTAATTTATGGCAATTAATCTCAATACTCATATTCAATCACTCTACATATTCAACATATCACATATCACAATTCTTCACTTTTACAACAACATGCCACAAGTAAATTACAAATCACAAGTGGGTGGCATAATAAATGTTTTTCCTTTGCAAAATCATTTCACAATCAAGCACATTACTGACATGCATCATTTATTAAATCATCAATTACATTTCATAAACAAAATCAACATTCAACCATAAAAGTTAGGTTTCCCCCGATTATCTTAAACCTTTGAGAGGTTAAAGGTTTACCTCTGACAATATCAACTTCTAAAGTTTCAACAAGCTTGAATGGTGTCAAAATGAATCACACTACAATCATAGCACAAGATTACCATCATTATCCCATTTAAGGGATTTTACTACGTAATCTCCATACACACTATTCTATCAACCCATGAATCACTACCTATTCATATCTAATGGATTCATTAGGTTCTATTGACCCTCATTATCATTTATGAGTCACTAACCCATCATTAATGGTCCACCAATACTTCTAACAACTATATTTATGTTAGTTTTTGGATATTTAATACTCTACCCAATAGACTCTTGATAAAACTATCAATGTAGGGTTCTCATGCCTTAAATAACTCATTTTAACTAATGGAATTAGACCATAATCTTATAGATTGAAAATCCATCTTCTAACTTAAACCCTACCATAAATCATCATAAATGAGGGAGAGAAAGGAAGAAGAAGACTTAAACTACCTACATTGGGTATTTAGGAGCTTCCAAACATCAATAATGGGAGCCAATGTGTGTGCCCTAGTAGAGCTCTAACATTCTCTTCATTTTCTTCCTCTCCTCTCTTATGTTTTGTCACACAGATGTGAACTGATTTATCAAAAATTTTGCTTGTGTGTCATAGTGCATGCTGCCTTTTGCCGCGACGCATGGCACAAAGGAGTCCATTGCATTTAAATTTACCTCTGTGCACCACAACGGACTGACTACGCGCTGCGGCATATGGCATAGAGAGCACATCTTCACTTTTTCTTCCTCTTTCCTTGCTCGGGTAGCCCACCATCAATCTGGACCTACTTTTAGGGCTGAAATCACCATAATTATTACACC